TGTAAAACCATAGGAGGGTTAACATGATAAATCCATTTAAACATGTCCTTTTGTGCAGAAGTCAAATTGACACTTTCCAGAGTAACTTTTTGTTTGTCTTTCAAATTTGAATTCCAACACATGATGCTACAGCCCTTTGCTCTGGTTTGGAATTCAGACATCGGTAGAATGAAGTTCTTTGGAGTCACAGCCAAACCCCGAACACAAAGTGACTGCTTGCTCTCTGTACCTTGTGGGCCTCTCCCATTGTGTCCTCCTGGTGTTGTGATCCACGTAGTAGTAGCGGCCGTTGGCATCCACCCGCTCTTCCCAGCCCGAGGGCAAGGGGGCTCTGGCCTCTATATTCGCCTCCTGCTCAGGGGAAGCACTGGTCTCTGTCTCAACTTCGTTGTCAGCATCCACGATCTCCCAATCATTCTAGACAGAGTAAAAAATCAGAGGTGTGAGAAACAGCAAGCAGCAGCGGCACAATAGTCCGGAAAAACAAAAACGGCAGAAATGTAACAGATACAGCAAAAAGCATGAAAATCAACAGCAGAAGCAACAGTAGTAGCAAAAACAATGGAAGCTACAGATATAGAAAACAGCAGAAGCAGCGAATCAGGAACAGCAGAAACAACAAAAAAAACAGCAGAAGCAACAAAACAGAAACAGCAGAAGCAACAAAACAGAAACAGCAGAATAAAAACAGCAACAGCAAAAGCAACAAAACAGAAACAGTAGAAGAATCAAAACACCAACAGCAGAAGAATCAAAACAGGAACAGCAGAAGCAACAAAACAGGAACAGCAGAAGAATAAAAACAGCAACAGCAAAAGCAACAAAACAGAAACAGCAGAAGAATTAAAACAGCAACAGTAGAAGCAACAAAACAGGAACAGCAGAAGCAACAAAACAGAAACAGCAGAAGCAACAAACAGAAACAGCAAAAGCAACAAAACAGAAACAGCAGAAGAAACAAAACAGAAACAGCAGAAGCAACAAAACAGAAACAGCAGAAGCAACAAAACAGAAACAGCAAAAGCAACAAAACAGAAACAGCAGAAGAATCAAAACAGCAACAGCAAAAGCAACAAAACAGGAACAGCAGAAGCAACAAAACAGAAACAGCAAAAGCAACAAAACAGAAACAGCAGAAGAATCAAAACAGCAACAGCAGAAGCAACAAAACAGGAACAGCAGAAGCAACAAAACAGAAACAGCAAAAGCAACAAAACAGAAACAGCAGAAGAATCAAAACAGCAACAGCAGAAGCAACAAAACAGAAACAGCAGAAG